CGTCTTGGCCGGCACTTAAAAAATTAAAAAATTAAATTAAAAATTAAAAAAAAAAAATAATTTAAAAAAAAAAAAAATTAAAAAAAAAAAAAAGTAAAAAAAATACCCCTTAAATAATTTCACTAGGGTGTTTATCTTTTGGTAAACATGACTACGATACGAAGGTATCGTATATATTATATGATGTTGGCTGCTTCGTCTTTCCTTTTTGCAATTAAAATATTTCCCTTTTTGGCCACTTCATCCGTATTTTTTTTTAGTATAGAATTTATTTTTATCTTTTATTTTAAATAATATATAAAAAAAAAAATTATTAAATTTATGTATTTCGATGATGTCTTGAGGTGAACGTTTCTTTTTTATTTTTATATTTTTTTTTAAAATTATTCCCTCATTATATTCGTTTTCACATTCTTTTTTTTCACCTCAAATGAGCTATCACATTTGATATGTGGTGGTTCAAGTTTTTCTTTACCTGAACGAAGCTTGCCACCTCTACGCGGTGTTCAGGAGAAACGGTTATAGTTTGAACTATAACTGGCTAAGCGCAAGCCTTAAGTGATAATACTAAATAAAATCTTGTAAATTTTACGAAAAAACGATTTGTTCAAAGTGGCTTCTTTTTAATAATACAAAATAATTAAATAAAAGTTTTCGTCGTGTAAAAATAAACCTTTTTAAATAAAAAAATTACTAACGAAGATGGGACAACCTAATTACTATCCACAGCAATAGAATTATGAATTTCGTTGAACAAACTCATTCAACATATTTTTCAGATTACAAAGAATGAAACCTGAATTTTTTTTTTTTATAATTTATTTTCCTTAAAATAAGTCTAGATGGATATATTTCTCCGAAATCCATAAATACATTCAAATACCACAATTTCTTGAAATCTCGCATGATAAAAAATGAATTATTCTGAATTTTTTTATAACTTTTTAGTATCATTTGATTTTATCTTTTTCAAAAGTTTTTATTTCCTGTTGTAACCTTTATATCTTCACCTGTATATCTCATTATATTCCCTATTTTTTTTTTAGAAAAACAAATTTGGTTCTAGTATTAAGTGGCGCAATAAGTGAAGCTATAATAATAAAAAAAAAAATTTGATTGATGCAATGATCAAAAAAAAAAAAAAAGCAAATGATGCAAAACCCTTAACTAATTATTCTAACTCGAAAGAGAAACCTTAAGAAATGAAAATGATAAACAAAGCGCAGAATAAATAAATTTACAATTAAAAAAAAAATGGAACTAAAAACTATACAAACAAAAAGCACACACACCGCATATTTTCAAAGCGATCCATCAGATCCTAATAATAATTAATATAATCGTTCTATCGCTGCGGTCCTAAAGCGAAAGAAACAAAATTAAATGAAAAAAAATGAAAAGTTAAAAAAAACAAATGAAACTAAAAAAAAAACATGAAACTAAAGAAACACGTACTGAGCACTTCCGAAACGATCGACTCAATCAGTTCATCATCTACACCTGCAACTGCATACTGCTCACGCGAAAAATGGGAAGACATTTTTGTTGCGGGATATACCTTAAAATGAAAATACAATTACCTTGCTCGTGGCGTTTCGTTTTCTATTTGGAACCTGGAAAGTACTAAAAAACAAAAATATGCCTGTAATCCATAGAAACATAAAACAGTTTCAACATCAGCCGGGCAAATTGATTTTTTTAGGTTCTCGTAACCCTTCGTATCATACAGTTAGGTTGTTCCGTTAAGGAGTTGGGTAAATTTGATAAGCTATTTGTTTGGTAAAGTTGATAAGCTAATAATTTTTAGTATCATTGCTAAATAGTTTAGATAACTTGCGATATCTTTGTATTCCTCCAAAGACGTTTAATATTCCATCCATTATTAAGTTCTGTAATCGTTAAGATTTTACATATCCTTCAACATTTGATTCTAATCGGAATTATTTGATTCATTTGTTCAAATCGAATAATTCAAATAAATTATTTGTACTAGAAGAAGCATCGACTTTATCCAAATGAAATTGTTACAGAATTGATTCATCATTCTCATTTATTATAATTGCATTTTCTTCAGGTATGCCGGGAATGATCTTTTCTCTAAAATTTAGATAGCTAAACTTAAGTCATATTCTTCAACATAAAAAGAAGGATGACCGCTTGATAATTCCCATAAAAGTACGCCAACACAAAAACGTCTCTCTTTTCATTTAATTTAAATTGTGGTGATTGATAAAAAAAATTTGGGGTCATAATAAGGAATTACTCCAAAAACTTTTGACTGTGTCGCTGTTTCAATTCTTTTGAAAAAGTGGGAACCATTTTAATTTTTTAAGTTGACCCGTAACAGGTTACGGCTTGCAGGAATTGAAACCATAATTCTTTTCTATAAGCAAACATCTAGTTTAATAACACCTTGATGAATTAATGAATTAACTAACACATTACCGTAATGCTATCAAATCATATAAAAAAAAGTTAATTATTAAACAGCAATAATCATAATGAAATATATATCGTTACTAAATCACAATGCATAATTCCATCTTCATGTAAATACAATACAGCACAAGCCAGCTAGAATGATAAGTTGTATTTATCTCCCAAATCAAGCTTATCATAATTAATAAATCAAGGAATGATATTAGTGATTCAAATAAATTAATGATTAGTACTAAAGTTCGACCCGCCTTTGATATATACCGTCTTTTGTGTAATCTAAAAGATATAAATTAATTAACAATTATTTAGGTGTGGAGACGAAGTGGAATTTAATTTATCATATGGGAGGATTTCTAGAAAATCAGGTTTCGAGAAATTTTTGAGTCAAATTAAGAGCTTAATGCATTTTAATCTAAAAACATCAAAAACAAAAATGCAATAAAAGAATCAACTTTGTTAAAAAGATTTCCGGTGCCTGATTTTCATAGCAATCAACCCATATGTTAAAACGATAAATAAAACATGAACCTACCTTAATTCTGCTTTCAATTAAACTATGCTCTTGATTTCATTACAAATTTATGAGACTTCTCAAATAATAATATTATCATGCTTTAGATAAATTGTAAATAATAATTGTAATTTAAATGAAAATTTTCTGTCTTACAAGTCATGCTTAATTAGAGTAAACAGTATTATATATTTCAGACTAAGCATTGTTATAATAAAATAAATAGCAACGATTTTATCCAAGATTTTCTTATATGTATCCTGCTATATCATAAACATATTATTATGCCAATTAGGATTGTTGAATACGAGGGTCCTAAACGGAAAAAGTACCTTAGGGACAATTGATATCAACTCATTTACTTTTCCGTGAAGAACACAAATATGATTAATGACTGTTGGAGCGGTGGGAAGGAGCGAATGATTGCCCCCCCCCCCGGCAGGTACTAAAATTCCAGAATAGGTATTAATAATGGCCAAATCTTCACTAGATCTACGATCGCAAGATGCCAGAATGTCTAGAGATTGGTTACAAGGTCTTCACAATTACTTGTATTAAAATGTACCCTTTCAAAATCTTCCTAGACTCGTCTACTGCAGTTCAATCTGCCAGAAGTTTCGTAATTGGAATCACATTCTTTTTGTCCAAGACGATGAGGATCCTCTGATGAATATTTAAGGCTTCACAAGAACTTTTCCTAAGAATAGACGAGATTCATTATTGGACTTATTTTACTTTGGACAAAATACAAACAATATGGTCATTTGGGATTTTACTGGTACATTTTCTTGAACTGGATTAAATCAAATTATATAGCTATATCATTGAGAAGATGATTTTCTAAAATATCAGAAATTGCTTATAAGCTAGAAATCACATGTCAATTTGATAAGTAAGTTGAGAGAACTATAAATTGTATATGTAATTTAGAAAATAGAAAGAACTAAACAATAATGCAGCTCTCGTATTAAATATTCGTATATGTTTTAACAAGTACGGGATCGAATTCTGAAAAATTTTATTAGGTGAGCACATTTCTCGTATTTGCGTAAAATAATGAAGCACAAATGAACTCAATGTATGATTTCACATGATTTCGATATATACACAAAGGAATATTTAATATAATAAAAGAATAATAAAAATTTACTTATGAAAATCTCGACCTTTATAATAATAATAATGAAAAATTTCAATTCGTTATTATGAGTTAATCGAAAGCACAAAATTCTATAAGTGAGACAGCAGTTTTCGATGGATGACGAATACTTTCACATTTACAGTATCAAGATTTTCCACCAGAAATTCTCGATGTTAACCATCTTATTAGTCGAAACACATTTTAAAACAAGATAAATAAACAAGAATTGACAAGGAATGTTATGCGACAAAACATGTAACACACATATGAGACGACAAAATTAAAATATCTAATGTATATGAAAAATAGTAAAATGCCCAGAAATGAATCTTGAGAGAAAGGAAATGAATGAATAGCATATTCGATAAGCAACCCACTACGTGTGAAATATCAAAAGTCACATAAATACAAAGAAAAGATATCGATCATAAAAAATGTTACGGGAGATAAAGCAGATTTGTATTAAAATTTATTAGAAGAAGAATTTTGGGAATTATATAGTACATCAAAATGATAAAAGTAAAAATAAAATTACAAAGTTATAAAATATATCTCTTTCTGTGAAATCGACCAGCGACTACCGATAGGTCATCATATAGATGATTACTATTAGTTAGGATTATACCTGATTCTTCGACTGCTTTTACCGTGCCACTGGTAAACATTTCTTTAGACAATCCCCACCACCACACCGATTGTCAGCCATGGCTCAATAAGCAACCCACCACGTGTGAAATATCAAAGTCACATAAGCATAAAGCAAAGACATTGATCATAAAGAATGTTTCAGAAAATAAAGTAGATTTGTATTAAAATCTATTAGAGGAAGAATTTTGGGGAATTATATAGTACAAAATGATAAAAATACAAATAAAATACAAAACTATACAGTATATCTCTTTCTTTAAGTCAACCAGCGACTACCGATAGGTCATCATATAGATGATCACTATCGGTTATGATTATTCCTAATTCTTCGACCGCTTTTACCGCGCTACTGGTAAATGTATCTTTGGATAGCCCCACCACCACGCCAATCATCGGCCAAGGCTCATTTGACAACGTCCCTAATCATTTCTCAGATTACGGTAGGCCCTGAGATATTTAGATATTTATTAAATGATGTTCATTTAAATATAATTAATTTTCATTAAATTCTATTAAGTACCTATTTTTCTTTTCTTCCAGGCTTTACACTGCCCCATAAATCTTTTGCCATTCATATGCCCGCGCATATCGATCCTCTTATCACCTTGGCCTCTGTGAAAATTATAAATAAAAAAATGAGTAATTGCGTCAACATCATCAAAAATCAAGAACATTCACAGTTATTTTTTGTGGTTACGAAGCAACCTACCGCGTATCTAAATCAAGAACCCTTGGTCTCTACGAGAAAATTATCCTTCAAGAAGGCCACTACGATACCGATTATCCTGCATGGTTGTTGGGAGAGCATCTCGCCCAACTCTAAGACGACAGAAAGATCTGTGATTTTTAGAAATTTATTAATGATATTCATTAAATATAATAATAAAATTTCATTAAATTCATTAAAACATACCAGTTTTTTTACTTTTCAAGTTCTTTTATTGAATAACAATGGGATATTAGAAATACGCAAGTGTATATCTTTCCCTTTATCACCACGACCTCTATGAAAATATAAAAATCAAAAAATGAGTAAATTGTGTCATCATCATCAAAAATCAAGAACTGATTCGTATTCCTATTCACTACAATCCCCAGGGCAGTACCGAATTTTGGGATTTCGGAAACTGAGAAGAGCCGTTCACGGCTGAAACTGTGGCCATAAAGAGCTTTCATTTCCCAGACATTTTAAACCTAGTAGCAGCGTAACTTCAGATATACTGTGAAATACTCACCATTCTCAATATTCAAACTCTCCAAAATAGTACTATTTTTCGAGCTCTCTTCCTATCTCACTAATGACATGAGTTTTGGTAATTTTCGTCAAAACTTTCGATCACTTCGTTAATACTTGGGTAAGTAGCTGGGAAAAGTGACCAAATTAAAATTTTTTAATAATTTTTTTTTTTGATATTCCATACATTTCCAAAATAATGTATGACCATGTGAGAATCGATTGAATGGTTGCTGATAGGAAAAAAATTTTTCATAAAGAAAATTCCTGTTTCACTACACGTGAGTGAAACTTATAAAAGAAAAGAATTAACACAGTGATAATACTGAAATTTCCAATAATATTTGGCTCACCGAAATCATGTGAGGTACCTTCCGATTAGCCATTCTAACATGAATTACACCACCCAAATAAAAGTAAAAGGAATCGAAAATACAAATACTTTTGGACGCTAATTATGCAATAAAAATAATTTTATGATATCTTTTTTTTAAAAAAAAGCCTAAATCTAAAAAGCATGGTGAAATCATCAATTAAGTTTAAGTATTTAGAATATTGCAGCAGTGCTTTATTTAAGATCTACTAGGTATTATAAATGAGTATAAAACAAATGTGGTGTAATAACAGCTAAAATACTAGGACATTAAAGAGTTTTTGGAAAGTGGATTTGAAAGAAGAACTGTCCTTTTGAGTATACGGTAGTTAAATTCTTGATTGACTAATTCTTTAACCTTGGAAGGGGCGTTGCCAAGGGTTAAATTCCTGTTAAAACTCGAATATTAGCAAAACCTAATTGTTACGTCGTCATTATTCACATATCCCTCAAATCGAAGGGAACATTTCAAATTCACGGCGTGACAGTTGAGAATTCAATTCTCATTCGTTTCAATTCGTTGGAATTTTATCGTAATAACATTCGGTAATTTACAAATTAAGCTAGTTTACATGACAAATCACGCATTTGAATTCGTCGAAAAATTCGATTATCCAATCAGTTTCAATGCCAAATTATATTATAGTAAAAATTTTTTAATTACGAAATTAAATAATTTAGCAACAATAACAACCTCCTTTTTCCTTGACAGCTTTATCATCAATGACAGACCAACCAATCATTGGTGAGACAACCACTTCATTAGAATTTTCGAGAAGTTCTTGTTGCGCACCCAAAAATCCAGCAATAAATTTTAAACGTAAACCAGTATCAGTTGTAAATGGGACTGCAACACTTCCATCAGGAATATCATCCAGTTCAATTGAATTGTAAATTATCTTTGATCCATCCTTTCCATAAGGAAAAAAGTCCAAAAACCATCCACTAATATCATTACTAGGGCCTGAACCAAACGGTTGTTGCGAGACTATCTATGACCAGAACTCTTCGTCAATTTCACCTTTATAAGTTTCGATAAACTTGCAAATAACAGGCTCCAATCTATCCAACCAAAAATCGAGTTCTAAATTCAACTGTCGTAATTGAATGACCTTTTCTTGTACCTTTTCCCAATCTTCTAAGGTACCCTCGAGAGTAACTTTAGGAATTCCACACAAGAGTAATACTTTACATGTAAAATATGCTTTAACCATATCCAAAAGAACGATACGACTAGCCGTAAGCGAATTATTTGTTGTGGTAGAGAAATTACATTCTAAAAGGGATTTTATATCAATTTTTTCTACAGCTTCATCAGTTTTCACGACCAATCTATTTACCGCCTCAGGCCAATCTCCCTCAAGGCTAAAATAATTGAAAAATAAAATATCACCGGCATCAATCATTATCTCTTCTTGACCTTCATGATTGACAAAATAATGACGAAATTTTTCTGCATTATAATTAATATGACGACTAACTCCCTGTGCGATGGTTAACCAGATATCATCAGGCGATAATCTTAAATGTTGATGGTGGTTGTAAGCGTGAAGAATGGCCGCTGCCATTCCATGAGAGGTCATGGTATCTTTAATCAGAGATGGTTTGCTTGAAGGAGTTTCCTCATAATTAACTGAGACTGCATGAACTTTTGTATCAGGAAAAATTTGAGAAATTTTATTTTTTATTGTAACTTTTCTATGAAGTTTATTTTCGAGATTAATTTTTTTAGTGAGGATATGAGTACTCATTTTTTTTTATTTTTTTATTTTTTTTTTTAAAAAAAAAATAAAAAATATATTTTCAATAGAAATCAAACACCAACTGGTACGTTTTTTATTGACGAATCCGCATTGGGAAAATACTCTGTTAAATAGAAACTCCAAATTGGTGCGTTTTTATTGGCGAATTAATTTTCAGCCAAAATACTTCGGACTATGAATTAACCATAATTGGTTATATTTAAAATAAAACGATATCGCATTTAGCAATTATGTCGGACACTCATCTAATTGATAAAAAAAAAATGGCTTAAGTCAAAACGTAATCTTTTGATTTTACGGCGCCTTGCTACGATAATTAACGGAAAAAACTCTCTTATAAAAAATAGCAAAAGTAAAAGATAAAGTGAGAAGTGATTGTAGTTTATCTATTGCGTTCAAGCCTTCGTTAGTGTAATCCGAAATCGGTTATAATAAAATCGGTTTGATTGCGAAAATTCGACATTTGACATTAATCGTATACAGTAAATGGCGACGTTATTTTGACAATCCAAATTTTATTTTTTTTTGAGATACAATTCATTATAAATGAATTAGAATACCGAAATGGTTTAAAGCCTGGTAAGGGTAATTGTGATTTTTCGAGTAATATACCTGTTTTTCGACAAGCAAAAAAATAAGACATTCATTTTATGACGAGTTATTCTTTCGAATTTGGTTATATTATACATTTATTTTGTTTTGTTATACAATTATTTGTATAATAATATTTTTCCTGCATGATATTAATTATTTACTTCATGTCACATGTAATTAGCTTAATATTTTCTTTTAATAAATTAAATAAAAATTTAGAAATAAATATTTTTGTTATTGTTTATATTGCATCATAAAAATAATCGCAATTCGGTTGAAATCCGAGGTCTCAAATCTTTTTTATCTGTTTTAATAGGATAATTAATCAAAAAAAAATTAACAAAACGATTCGTCACAAACTTGCGTTTAGCTTTCATTCTAAAACAATAGATTCAGTAGAACAAAGTATTTGAATCTTCATGTAAAAGTTATGATAACTGGCAGTTTAATCGAAACTTTTCTATTTTTAATTGAATGATATATTCTAAATTATTGAATTGCATTGAATTCCAAAATAATTATGTTCATTATCTTCATTTTCGTCAGTGTTGAGCATTTTCTAAGAAAAAACAGTCCTTTTTCAATTTGATTATTGCTGTAATTAATAAATAAATAATTCATGTAGAATCTATAGCAACTTATCTGAGAAAGCAGATAATTTTTGACCCCTTGAAGAATTTGTATATATACACAAATTGAATATACATCATACATCGAGCCCCGTCTTCATAAAATCACAATTGATTATACTATATATTACAGAAAAATTAAATTTAAAAATGTTCATAAATACACACAATAGAAATAAAATAAAAAAATATGCATTGAATTTACTGTTATAGACCATGTTGTTTCGTTGGTCGAAACAACTTTACTATAACCATTCAAATCTTTGCCATTCCTAAAAAAAAGAAAATAATTTAAAGAAAATTGCCAAAAAAAAAAAAAAATTAAAAATTGTAATCATACCCAAAAAAAATAAAAAGAACTAAAAAGCTTTGCAGGAAAAAACCATCCCACTTTGATAAAAGTAGATTCTTTCGAAAATAAATTTGTCAATTTCGACGGATTTCTACGGGTTGACAATTTGACCATTTTTTAATTCACGAATTTGATTTAATGGGCTGGACTTAAGATAGTTTTGGACCTAAATGGAGAATAGGACATAAAGTAAGTAGTTCAACTTTACCTATATTCGTTTCGTTTTTATTCCCATAAGAAAAAAGACCATATATAAACGGCATTTTCGTGAGAATTTTACTACGGATTGCGATTTTAGGGGACATGAAAAAATCTATTCGTCACTCCCTATCCTTCACATTGCGTCACAATTATTTCCAGATGGGACGCAGGGGGTTAAGATTCCCTTTTTTAGAGGGCGCACAAGCACATGATCGACCTTTTTGTCCGAACAATTATAAATTCCGAAATTTTTTTTTTTTGTTTCCACAACAGTCACGGTTTGCTTTTACACTTTTGTAAAAATAAATGGATCTAGCCAAATTAAATCTATTTTCGTACAAAAGGAAGGTGATCAAGGAAAAAGAAACATTCACGTTTCATGTTCATTTACCAAAATATGTCGAAAAATTTGGAATTCCCATAGTACTTGGCAATGTAAAAGAATTAGGACATTGGAATAATCCCATTGTACGACTTTCTCAACCATTTCCTAAAAATTCAACATATTGGCAATCTAATCCGATTGCTATTTCGTTATCAAATGTTGATATTCAGTACAAGTATGCTGTTCTTTTAACCGAGCCAACTGGGGAAACAAAAATTGCATTTGAAGGATCCAGTATTGAAAACAGTCGCACTTTGGATATTATAAGAAATCACCAATTCGGTATATGGAAAAATAATGAATTTCTTTTGCTATCCAATACTATAATAGACGACTTTGCTTTCGTAGATTGTATTTATAATAATATCAGTGATAATAACCTTAAAGATAAAGTTATGGAATATCAACATTTATCAACTGTTTACAATGATCTTATGATTCGCGCATCAAATATTGAATTCATTGTCACTCGTATTGATGACGGGTCAAGAGAACAACGGCTCTTTATATGTCTTCTCTTAGGGTATTATATATCAAGTCAAGGAAAAAATTATGAATTACCAGCTTCTTTTCCTTCTGGACTTCTGCTAGATGCACTTGAGAACTATAAACAAGAAGCATTACCTTCAGGCATAAAAGGTCAAATGCACATCGCTATTACAACTTTAGTCCATCATAACGCTTTCCAGATGCAGTTTAATTGGATTAATATTTTTAAAATTACTGGAGAAATAGATCCCAATTGTATCTTTATTGATCGTTTACGGGCTTTAAGATTTCTCAGTGACAATGTATTAGCAAAATTTATTGAAGAGTTTGAAATTATTAGCACTTATGTTAACGGCATTAAATTTGAAACTTATGTTAAACTTTCCAAGGTAAATTTTAAATAATTATATATTTTGCCAAAATAGTATTTAATATAATTTGTTAATTTATAGTGGTTAATTCAATTATGTCATAACATGGACTCTCTCTTAAAACTTTGGAATAATATTCTTTTGCATGATATCGCATTGGATAAACAAATATTCAAGTCGTTTATTGATCGAATTCGAGAAAATATTTTTCATGACGATGCTTCTACCTTAGAATACCAATTTAAAAGTCTTCACAAACGTTATCAGGATGATGTATCTGATGTCTTCCGGAGTCGCGCTTTATTTTTACTCGAAAGTCCAGTTAGAAAGTGGACCGATCAGAATGTTTTGGCTATACAAAGACTTCTTCAAAATGATGATCTTGACTGGCATAGTGATGACATAATACTTTCATTAGAGTTGATATCCCAATATCATAGTTTGGAATTATTAAATATATTTCCAGAACTTTTGGACGATTGGTTTCGCAGTGATTTTTCTGATACCAAAAAGAAAAAGATACCAAGTATTTGCGTAAATTGGTTTACACTGCTTTTGACCAAGCTTGGGACAAATGAGGCAAATACTTCAAATGAAAGTAACTTTATTTATGCGGTATTTGAACGATTAGAACGCATGTATCCTTTGCTTGGTAAAAGGATTTATGTTTGGCGAGATATAACAAAAATTGCCATAGAAAGGGTAAAGGGGTGTTCTGAACTTCGAATTTATTTCGCAACAAAATTGATAGTGGGAATAAAACAAGATGATGTCAAAAAATTATTTGTAGATATGGTAAAAGAAATATTAAATAAGAAAGTTCAACAAATTAATGATATGTTACTACATAAGATATTTATAATTTGCGGTTGCAAAGGAAAATTTCTCGAAATTCCGAATTCGTAAGTAAACAATTTTTATTCATAAATAAATATATATATATATTTTTTAAATTATTATGTTAATATTTTTAGGATGAGTGAAGATCTTTTATACCATATAATGACTATATTACAAGGCCAATCGTCAGCATCTAGCCCTTCGGATTATCATTTAAATACTTTAAAAGCTCATAGATTTTGGAACATTATATTACGCGCTAGTGGAAGTGTCTCTAAACTTAATGCCAACTCATTTGTTAAAAATACTAAAACAAGTATCAACGAACTCGGAGGATTGCTTCTTGAGAAAATGATCGATATAAAATTGCTACAACAAATTTTAGAATATTTTGATGAAAAATTATTTCAACATTTCGATTCAGCAGTTGCCAAAAGAAAACTTTAGGTGTTGTAATAGTCTCTCGAGAAAAAATCGCTGAACTTAGGAAAATTTGTAAAGATTATCAACATCAACTCGATATACTTTTCAAATTTTATAGCGGATTTTGTTCAGGTACTCAAGTAACGGATGTACAACAGCACATGCAAAATTCACATAAAGTTAAGCTGAAACAAGTGTTAACATCAGATTACTGGGCATTCCATAAGAAAACGTTAGACAGTGCAATACGTTGCTACAAATATAACAATGCCCAAACATTCAGGAATATCTTTGATGCTTGTCTCCGTGAAGATGCTGCTGCAACAAGTGTAGAATATATAGCTCAAAAATTGATGCCAGTTGTTATTGAAAGATATTTCACCATGTGTAAACAGTTTAAGGAATGGGAAGAACTCAAATGTTCAAACGCAGCTTTGCTTTGGAAAAATGTTACGAATTTTAATGCTGAACTCGATTTAATGGATGGTTATAAATCCTATAAAAGCCAACGGTTTGTACAAACTCTTAATCTTCTTTCAAAAATTTCTCACTGGATTGAGCGATTAGAACAATTAGAAAAGGTTGTAGAAATTTTCAAAATGCCCCATAATGAAGACGATTGGCTATCGAAATCAATTCGTATTTTAAAAG